TGTGTGTGTGTGTGTGTGTGTGTGTGTGTGTGTGTGTGTGTGTGTGTGTGTGTGAGAGAGAGAGAGAGAGAGAGAGAGAGAGAGAGAGAGAGAGTCATACCTGAAAGAATGAGTTTCACGGTGATCAAAGCTGCCGCGTTATTCGACCCCCATCATGACTGTATCAGACCTGAAAGGTCTGTTGTGTACATGCGTGAACACAACCGCCCTCATCGAAGTTGACGGGCGGGTTGTGTTCTTGTGTGTATCGTGCATGTATCTTGCATGTATATTGCATGTATACAACAGATCTTTCATGTCCCATACAGTGATGACGAGAGTGCTTGTATTCATTCCACTTCAACGATAGCTATCTTGGGATGTCAGAGCTACACGACACACCCTCATTATGAATGTATAGGGCTCAATAGACGGCTACTACGACACCTCACCACACAAACCACGAAACAAAGTGAGTTCATCTTACGACGGAAGGTGGCAGGATACATCCATTTCTACTCAAAGAAATGGATGTATCCTGCCACCTTCCGTGGTAAGATGAACTCGTTTTCTTTTTTTTTTTTCTTTTCTTTTTTCCGTATGTTATCCATTCTACACAAGACAAAGCACTTTCATTATGACTGTATCCGCCTGCAACACGAAACAAACAAATGAGTTCATCTTACGGCAGAACGCGGGAAGATACATCGGTTTCTACTCATAGAAACGGATGTATCTTGCCACCTTTTGTGGCAAGATTAACACTTTTCTCTTTGCTTGGCTTGAACACGACAAGCCCTCATTATGCTACCATTGCACTGACACAAGGCGCCCAAAGATACATTTCAACTTTTCGAAGTACGTACACACACACACACACACACAACACACACAAAGTTTTTGGGGGTGCGCTGCCCCGAATTTATGTTTTTTGTGTGTCCATTACCTTTTTTACAAAGATAGGTGGGGTGTGCAACCACACCCTGCCACACCATTTTTTTTGGTTGACCCCGTATTTGAGGGGGTGCGTCGCATCACGTGGGCGCACACCCATGCACTGGCACTGTGCACTGCACGTGCGTGTTTGAGCCACACACGTGGTGCGTCGCAACTATGGTATTTTCCCATCTGGGCAATAACGGACTTGAACCGCTGGAACTCTCGTTGTAAACAAGGCACTCTACGAACTAAGCTAACCACAAATACCAAAGCTTATGGGCTGCAGGCGCTGCAGCATGTGCCAAGTTTGTTTGTTCACTCTTGCTGGTTTTGATCGTTAGAGAGTGCTCTAGGCAGCCAAAATGAAAGTTTGGGGGCTTTCGATTTTCTCGTGTTCAATCTGTATGTGCTCTCCTGAAACCACGTTGTGAAATCCTTTCGGACAGGGTTCTGTGTGTTCTGGACGTTGATTCACTCTCTGTATGCATACGTAAGTGTAAGAGGTCGATAAGGATGGCAGATCAGTTTACAGCGATCGCTGAAGTGTTTTGAAAGGCAAAAGGAAGGAAACTTCGTGTGTCCTCAAAGAGGGCCGTTAAATTTGGGTTGTGAACAATGTTCTAGACGTCTATTTGGAACGTTGATTTACTGTGTGCTTGTCAGAGCTCGCAAACTCCTACTTCTCATACAGCCACGTCCCCGTGGTCTGTTGAGACCACTACCCGTCCCGTCAGGCCCAGGTGGTCATATCGACTTCATGGACACGAAGGTCAAAAGCAGAAACGGGAAGAGTCAAGTGATGGTGGTAGTAGATAGATTTAGTGCATTTGTTGTTTTTATTCTGCTGCCCGTTGAGGCGAAGTGATTAGAGAGTTCTTCAATCGTTGGGTGAAAGATTACGGGCATCCACTAACGATTGTTAGCGATAGAGAGTAGATTCACGGGCGAGCACTGGCAGCAACTGATGAAGGTATATGGGTCAAAGTTGACCATGTCATCTAGTAGGCGCCCAAACTGAGCAGAATGCCGCTCCAGCAAGTGCATTGCAGTCTGCGTATAATAGTTTGGTGCACCTGTCTACTGCACGCACCCCGAGTGAACTAGACAAGGGTTGGCAACCCCCAATTGACTGTCTAAATCCCGATCAGATCCAAAGATTGTCACCCGGTTCAAGGGAATTCACCATCCAATATGAGGACTTAGAGCAGGTGAAGAACAACATTCTTAAGGCCCAGCATCAGATGGTAGAACAAGCCAACACACCGACGTCCATAGCAATTCGCAGTAGGTGACTTAGTTTGGGTTAAGTCTAAGGAGTTCATTCCGGAAGAGGGGATCTCGCAGAAACTGCTACCTGCATATAGGGGACCATGGCAAGTGTTAGATATCAAGGGAGAAGCAGATGGTCCATCCTACACTATAGAGATTCCACCCCACCTGCACACATACCCGATATTCCCCATATGTAAGTTTGCTTCCCTGTGTCACGAACGATCAGTTTCCCTCTCGCAGCTCCATGATCCCACCAGATATGGACGGAGGTTCTGATGTAGACAGAATAGTGGCCAAAGATGTGTTCCGTACAGGCCGCAGAGGGAGACCACAGAGGCATTACAAAGTCAGGTTTGCCTACCAGGAACCCAGCGAAGACCGCTGGTTCCCCAGGGAGGAACTAGCACAGACAGACCTTCACATTTCCCCTTTTATGAGAGGGCGCGGAGGGGAATGAACGTGTATGACAGATAAAGATGGGATTTTTCTCAGAGGACCCTGAAATTAGGCCGGCGGGAGTGAGAGGATTCACGCTGCAAACACCCCGAGTCCCGGTTCCAGGGTCTCCAAATCGTCTCAGTCCCGGTTGGGACAAGTCCCAGGCAGTCCCAGTAGGGTAGGTCGTAGGGTCCAGAGGCCGAAACGTTGTAGGTCGTTAGGTGTCGGTACCGAAACGTCATAGGTCGGTAGAAGTCCAGCTGGTACCCAACAAGAAAAGTCCAGTCCAGTCGAACAGTCCCAAGCCCAATTTTGCAGCGTGTCCCAGGAAAGTCCGGAAGCCACCGGATCGACAAAACGATTGCAGCAGACAGGCTGTGGCCGACCGGTACCGGTCTGAAGCAGGCCAGGCCAAGTCAAGTCCTATATTTAGCTGCTACAGTGCAGCGGCTCATCACTTGTTCAATTGCAAGATGCGGAAGCGCTGCTGCTGCTTGTGCGTTAAGGCAACTTGGGCACTTCGTGCCTGAAGGAGGAAGGGGGCACTTGAGAGTTACTCCATAGCTAGGGTAGAGGGAGATAGGAAGGAGGGCGGCCATAGCCACCAAGTGTGAAGCTTACCTAAGTGTATACAGGGTTACGACCTAGTTAGAGATAGGGGTTGAGGCTAAGCGAGCCAATCCAGCGAGAAGTGCAATGGCTTGCTGATTCTGCAGTCTGCGGCCCATCGAACCGAGGCTGTAACATAAGAAGGACAGATTCGTAATTTTGTTTCTACTGTGTACTAACCTGGAAAACAGCCTGTGGGTAAATATGTGAGGGACATATCTGCAAATTCGGAAAACTAACAGCGAATAGCAGGCCCAGGCAGCCACATGGACAGAGGCCTAGGGGCCTACACTGATAGACTGGTCCTATAGCCTATAGCCGGGCTGGGAGAGGTCGTAGAGGCCGAAACTGAAATGGTACCGGTCCGTCCAGTAGGTTCGGTCTAGGTCGAGTCTAGGCTAGAGTAGATCTATTAATAGGATGGTGACAGCTTCAGCGTTGGAGAAGACAGACATAGCCGGACCCTCGAAGCGTCGGTCATAGCTGGGTCCTTCGCTGTTCTCTGGCAGCACGTGGGGCTGCTCAGAGGTCTGGGCTATCTGAGGTCTGCTGGAAGTGGCAGAAGCTGGTGCCCTGCTGCAGATCTTCACTGGTGAAGTCATCTGGCACTTCATCTTCATCAGAGACTGCGGCGCTGGTCTTCTTCTTCATCCTCTGAGAGGCGCTTGGCCTCAGAGGCCTGTTTCAGGGTGGCGCTTCCCTTTGGAGGCAGTATCTGGGCAGTTTTGGTTGTTTCAGGGGTTCTGGGGCAGTAGATAGCGGTTATCTTGGTTGGGAGAGAAGCGCTGCTACTCTGAGTTTAATAAACAGTGTTGGTACTGTGTCTTGATTATCTTTGCTTCATTGTTTCCTGGATGTGATCTACTCGGCTTTCCTTTGTGACTGGTTGTGGGGACTCTGTGGAGCGAATTGCACTTTCAGTGTATTCTGTCATATCGCATGGACAAGGCTTCCGCTGTGTCTCATTCTCTCTGTGTGGTGTGATACTCCTGTCCTCTTCCCTTCCTTCTGTGTATGTGTGCGAGTGTTGGTCTCCTGACAACAAACAACCAGGTTCATAACAGAAGAGTGAGACTGCAAGGAGAGAGAGAGAGAGAGAGAGAGAGAGAGAGAGAGAGAGAGAGAGAGAGGCCATAGCCGTCATCCAGTTGAGATCCGTTCTGAGTGTGTGTGTGCAGCAGAGCCGCTGGAGACATTAACATTTCTTTGTGCAATAATGATAATGTTTGGTGACAGCTTCCACATGTGTTGATTGCATCTCAGCTTCGGCTTCTCACGTGTGCACTCTCGTGTGAATGTTCATTGATGCATGCCAGGTGAAAGTTGATGAGAACCTGGTTCATTTCATGTTAGTCCCTGTTGATTTATTGTGATCAGAGTGTACCCTTCATGGATATAGCCATTGATGTTGTCAGAATATTGAAAGGACAGGAAAAAGACAAAAAAAAAATGTCAGAGTATTGAAAAGAGAAAAATAACTTAAATAAGACTATATCTGTAGAAGGGAAGATTCGTGTCGATTCATCACTGAATCATCCAATCATGACTCGCGAGATTATATCAGTTTATCATAAGACTCGAACCATTGACACACGCCATGGCGTGAACAACTAGCTCAGTAATTCCTCTCCTCGATTTTACCTAGGAATTAGCAGATTGGAACTATTCCCCCCCGAGCGTAGCATACAACTTTCATTGTACTACACTCTCCATAGGGAATTCAAGATTTCAATGTCCTCATCTGTTATTAAGATTTCTTTTCAAGTTCAAAGAATCTGAATCATACCTGTGGCGCCCAGGTGCGATGTGCCAGGTGCTGCGGGGCGCTATGCGCTGTGCGCTGTGCAGTTGCCCGCGCACAGAGGTGTGCAGGGGTAGTGCACGTGCGCTAGGAGTGCGCTGAATTTTTTTTATTTCTTTTTTCTTGCAGGGCAGACGCGTGGATATGTGGATTGAGGTTTTATTAAACTGCGAAGTGGAGTACACTGGAAGATCCTCTCTCCTCCCTCCGCCATTTTCCACTGCGATCTTTCATCTCCTCCCTTGTCCGTCCACCAGTTTTCATCTCCTCCTTCCTCCCTCCGCCCTTTTCCACCACCATCTTTTGACACCGCCATCTTGCATCATGAGGATAAGAGTGCCACGCTGGGCCAACTGCAGGGCCAACTTCTATAATGGTGGAGGGAGGAGGGAGGAGGGAGGATATGAAAGATGGCGGTGGAAAGTAGCACAGGGAGGAGGGAGGATGTGAATAACGGCGGAGGGAGGAGGAACAATGTGGAGAAAGATGATGGCGGGAGGTGGAGGGGATGGAGGAAGAAGGGGGAGAAAGTGAAGTCTGTGCCACATAAGCATGGTGGAGAGCAGAGGGAGAAGGTGGAAACTGGCAGAGGGACGAGGGAGGAGATGAAAAATGGCGCTCGATAATGACGGATGGAGGAGGGAGGAGATGAAAAATGGCAGTGAAAAATAGCGCAGGGAGGAGGGAGGATATGAATAGATGAGGAAGAATGGGGAGAAAGATGATGGCGGGGGATGGAGGGGATGGAGGAAAACGGGGGAGAAAGTGTAGTCTGTGTCACGTAAGACGAGGAAGGCTGGTGACCTCCCACCTGCTGCCTTCCTCAATGCCAGCTCCTTAGTGCCCTATCCTCGTTGCCGTCTCCTGGCTGCCGCGCTCTCCACACTGCCCTATCCTTGCTCGCGTCTCCTCGATGTCGTCGGCCTGCACAGCTCACGGTTTCCCTTTGCTCTCCCTTCACTCCTCCTCCACTCTCCTCCGCACCCCTCCTCTCCCTCTTCCTCTACACAATCCCTCTCCCTTCACGGCGATGGCGAAGGCACGGCGGCACGCGGGTAACGTCATGTGAGTTTGGCAGCTTGTGTAACGTGGCCAGTGAGCCAACTTTGACAGCCAACTTCGAATTCGAATTGAAGGTCGCCCAAAGACATATGCGGCGCTGGGCAGGGCCCGGAAAAACTTTTGCGCGGTGGTTCGACTATTTTTCTGAGGGAGGGGGGACTGGGAACTGTCAACCAGGCCCTTTTCTTCGTTTTTTTTGGGGGGGTGTTTTTTCCCCCGTGCGACTTGTCCGGTACGCGCACACCCTGTGCTGTGCAGCTTGCGTTGCATGGGCGCGGTGCCATCCATTGCAATGCGCCGCAGGAAGATCTAAATCCTTATCTTGGTATTTGATGCGCACACACGAGCGCACGCTGTCGCACTTTTTCTGGTCTGGCCACTTCAGGCGACCTAAAAGCCAACAAGCTGTCATGCAGGTCATTTGCAATAAATAAATAATTTAAATAAAGCAAATCCCTTCCTGTTGTGTGCGTCCGGCTTCGAGCGAGACCCTTCATCGCCAGTCCCAGGTCTTAAGACTCTTCTATTTTGATTCGGAAAATCAAAGATCATGCAAATAATAACCATGCCATGCGAGCATCAATTTTGCCAATTTATTAATTTTGAGAATTGTGGCAAGATCGTCAGAGAACGCAATCGTCAAGCAGAGTCAATGCAAATAAAGCAGGACTGACTGACTCAAGGCTTAGGCAAGGTAAGTGAGGGAAAGGTGATAACTTGTAATAATAACCTCATAAAGTACATATGAATGGACACGACCAACACTTGTCAAGAGTCCTCACTCAACCCTCTAAAGTCTCATTATCAATCCCTCATCTGGTTGTGCGTCTCTTGTGCCTCGAGCTATGTCCATGTACTTCCTGATATTGTGGCCTCTGGATATAGAGCCACCTAAAACCTACAAGTTCCAAACACTTCCATCCAAGACCCATGACACGAAAGTCAACCATAACACAAAATTCCTCCCATACAGTAGCAAGATATGGCTGGGAGAAAACCCCTCGTTTGAGATGTCTGAGAACTCAGATGGCTCAGAACTTGGATGGCTCGATAACTCACTCGTACTCAATCTCTGCAGGTGAGATATACCTCTTGGCTAGATCCACCAAGTCACCTCAGCAGGGGCCGTCCGTGAGAGGAAAAGGAACCGGAGGTCTTGGGTAGTCTGTGTAAAGCTTGGGCCCAAAGCTACGGATCAGCTTTGGCCCATTCACATCAAGCTCACTCTCTCTCTCCTCTAGGTAGGAGGTTGCCGAGATCCAGACTGAGTCAAAATGTTCATGAACCTCATTCGCTTTCTTCACATAGGGTCTCAGGTCATGGATAGTGCCGTCGGCGAACTGGTGAGAACCGCAAAGACCGTCAGACCCCCTTGCCTGAAACCAACAGCACTGACATATTGATATCAGAAAGCATCTTTGGACGCAATCCTGTTGAGACTGGCCAAAACTGACCCGTCGATCGGGAATGACTGAACCACGCTCATGTGCAGAGGCAGATACTGAGACTGATTTCTGTAGTTTTTTATGAGGGCACTGTCTGATTAATACGGATCTCTGTGTCAAATGGCAATGACTGAATGCTGATTGATTCTGACTGAAACTTTCGGGTAACTCGAATGACTGAA